GACTTCATAAAGTTGATCTGTGTAATAGCAATTTGCCAAAAGCAATAAACTTCTAGCAAAACCGTCGATTGCATTCCCTTCCAAAGATTTCTCAAAAAACAAGATGAAGGTGCTTCTGTCGATGTCAAAAGTCGAAATTCCTCTTCTCTCCCCCACCTCTTCCTACTCCTGCCCCATAATTCGTTCGCTATGAAAGGTGAAGGCATTCAGAAATATTCCGACAATCGCAAGAACTAGCAGCCTAATCACCAGAAGGCAAGACTACTGGTGGCTGTCCTTACTGATTACCCCTTGGAAAACTTTTCCAGCTGTCGAGAGCTTCAGAGTAAAAGCCTAGTTCTAAGTCAAAGGAAAACTGCAAAGTCGGATTTGGGATTTCAAGAAAAACCGTAAAAATCGAAAGCGGGAAAAGTTGATGAAGCACCCACATGCGCACATCCGAAGCTGTCTCATTGATTTCCCTTTCGGCAGCATCAAGAGCTGGTAAATGTTCGCCGAAATTTGCAATCGATTCGGATTTGAAGACAATCTGCAAGAAAAGAGAATCGTGAAGAGAGCGCGGAGGATGAGGATTGTCCAGACACGCAACTAATCCATGGTCATGGTCAAAATCGGTGGTGATTTCTCGAATCACTTCAAATACGCAATCGGATTTTCTCGTGAAACAATGGTACGTACACATCGTTCTCAATGGAATAAGTGAGTGAAGAAAGAAGATAAAAAGAAATAAAACTCGTTCAGGAAAGTTGGCAAGATTTCGTAATCTTCACAGCTGAAAGCTCAGCGAAAGTCCGAAATATTATTGCAAGTACTGCTAGGCAAATAAAGTAATCGCTAGAGATGTAACTATGCAAAAAAGGCCAACATTTTGAACAGAGCTAAGCAAATTAGTGGCAACAACTGAAGGGCAAATTTGATGCTGAAGCAGCTACAAGTTGATGAAAATGAATAAAGTAAAAAAGTAATATATTACTTTATAGGAGAAAATTTCGAAACAAAAAAATTGAAATAATTTATGCACATATTTGGATGTGCATGAGTAAATAAATCATTGGCGGCGCGCAGCAGGCTGCCTTGTGTGATCATGCGTTTTTGCAATATTTCGTGCTGTGGCAAAATTACTTGGAGCCCCAGTAACCAAATTTTGTGGCATATTGATCCTCGAAGTTCAGAAAGTTAATTATGCAATTACGTGGCACTTAGCCAGGGAACATCTCCTAGAAAATTTCAGTTTTTTAGTTTTTTTTTTAATGGTTCCCGAGTTGGAAATTTTCGCGCTAAAAATTTTGATGTCGGGGCAGTTTCTTACTACTAATTTATTCATTGTTCCGATACATTTTCCTCCAACGTTTTATAATGACACATTTTGATTTCGCCTCTAAAAAGTAATAATTTTCGATTTTAGAAACAGAAAGGTTTACCTCTTTGTCCTTCTCAAACTGTTCCAGTAGTTCGGCACGCTTCATCATTAAAGCATAATTAAATTCAATGCAATTTCTCTTCTCAGCTTGCGTTAAGTAATCATCCTGCAAATATCTGCTAATCATCACAAGTATTAAAATTTTTACACATATTTCGTTGATGTGTTGAACAGTAAGGACATCCTCATCAAGGTCTAGGAGTGGTAACATTTGGGATGATATACTGATGCTCATCATACATTTTTTACATTTACATATATTTTTTACATTTATATTTTTTGTATTTTTATACATTTTTTGCATATATGCAAATGCAAAAACGCATATTGGCAAGAAGCTGTCTGTGTGTTCGCACTGTTTGTCACCCACTTTCAACCTGAGAACCAGAAAAGCTAGAAGGCTGAAACTTCGGGAGTATTGCCTAGCCATGTGCGACCCTCTTGTTTTAATACCATCACCCGCATACGCCTGGGTCTCAAGTACGTCAAGGCTCACTCAGTATTTACATACAATGTAAAACGGAGGCAATGGGAAGTTGCTTGAGGGTAGCAAGTGCTAACAGCAATCATTTGTCGGCAAAACTGTCAATGACTCCCCCCTTTTGCGGGTTGCTTAGAAGCAAGCTGATGGCGAATTCAACTCCATGGCACATGCCAGTAACGAATGAATATCAATCGTTGAGGGATTAGTGGCAAATTTTTTCGAAAAATAAAAATTTCCATGCAAAAAAAAATGCAATAATTAAAATGGAAAAGATGCAAAAGGAGAACTGACTCGAAGTGCTAAATCGTTAAGTTTTCGCAAAATATCGATTGGAATTTTTAGCAAAAACCCAGCGCCTGCTTGTGTCAATTTTCGCCGCACAGCAATCAATTCTTCGTTAACATTTTTAATCTCTTTTGCCTGTGCTATGCCCAGGCGTTTTTCCAGCTCCAACACGCGTTCCTTCAACGCATTTTCCATCATTATGTCTGAAAATGAAGGGAAAAAAATGTGCATCTTTGAGGAAAATTGAATGATCAAAGCGCATAAATTCGTAAAAAGCCAGCAAAAATTGAAAGTGCCCTGTATTATTGTAGCATTTTTACACAGCACAGATTGGTAGAAGTGTGGGTGAAAACAACTATAAATAAATGGTTTGCCAATTACAATTACAACTATAGTCGTACTGACAGGGTCCAGTTGTGGTAATGGTAAGAAATGTATACGACTTAATGGACCGAAATATTTTTTATAATTATAATAATTTTATTAATGTAATTTCACTACTTTTATTAATTTCTTATTATTTTCTATTCTTTTTCCTACTTCAAAATACTTTTCTGTTGCAAACGAGAAGAAAAAAGAAAGGTATATCAATACGAACAACAAATTCCGAATCGTCCAAAATGAAACTCTTGGGGAAAAAAACCCAGAAATGCCATATGCAGTATCGAAAAAAAAAAGTGTTAACTGCATGCATTTTGATGAATTGTTTTATAGCTAATCATAGTAAGGATTCCTAAAAATCAAATTTTTAAGAATACTTGCTATATTACTTGAATACTTGAGCAACTGTATGTCATCGACGCAAACCAGGTGAAAAACAAAAAGTACCAGAGATAAAACATATGGGTATTGACCAATCAAAAAACCTTTGCTTGAAATTTGCAAATATTTTACTACAGCCAATAACAAATCAATACAATGAAGCACATCAAAACATACCCGATCAGTGAAGCAATACAATCACTTAAATAATTTGGTCCTGCATCAAAGTCCGTCTCCTGTTATTGATCCCCCCTTTTATACTCCCCAAAATCTTACATCCAATCAGCCGTTTTTTCCAAGCTCTTTGCCTTACTTCTTCCTGTTCAGGTTTCCTAACCAAGTGTAATTTGAAGAATTAGCCACATGCGTGCCTTATAAATAGCGGGCGGGAGGCTTCCCACTCCCATTCGCACTCGGTTCACTGTCAGTGTTTACAGCTAAGGGATGAAACACTTACTGCGCCGGGGGCCGCACCTCAATACATGCAGTACCCTGGTTCATGAACTTTGCTTTCTTAATGAATATCTTTCGTGATTTTTCCATAAAAGTTAAAATACCCGTTCAAGGAAGAAAGCTGAAATTCCTCTGTCTTGAAAAATTATGAAATCTCCTTTATATGGGATGAAGACACAAGGAAATACCCTGAGTAAAAGCATATGATGAAGGGAAACTTCTAATGGCAGCCTTAAAGGCGAATTTGAAATCCCTAATAACTACCGCTATGTATTATTATTGTTATTATTATTATCATTGTTATTATTATCATTATTATTATTGCTACTACCATTACTATCATCATCATCATTAAAAAGAAAGATGTACAGCTATGCTGGCCATCGACCCGCTTCAATTGATCGCGGAATGAGTACAAAATAAGCATACTGGAAATATCCTAATACAGTACAATCGTCAATATTTACAACTGAAAGAAAGCAAATGGCACACGAGGTGCTGATACGACTGAAA